TTTCCCTGCTAAAGAAGAGCTGATGACGTATAAGATCATGGTCACCACCCTGTTTACTGCCGGAAGGTAGTGAATGACTCACACTGCAGTCATATCTGCATGACACTGTCTATAACATTAACACAACATTAAACATGACAGATGAACGTGGCAAATATGACTTTGTGCCATGTAAAGATTTGTTGATCTGTGCAGATTCGTCTCAGGTGACATTCCAGCAGAACATTTCACTCATGTGTTTATTGATGAGGCTGGACATGCTGTGGAGACTGAGTGTATAATACCATTGGCAGGTAAAAACAACAAAGAGTTTTCCTTTCTAGAGCTGTACTAAATTTGATTTATATGATGATTGATTTTTGTTATTTTGTGGGACCAAAGGGCTGCTCGATGCAACGGCTGGTCAGGTTGTTCTGGCTGGAGACCCCAAGCAGCTTGGCCCCATTCTTAGATCTCCTTATGCTCTGAAATACGGCATGGGTAAGTACAGACGTAAGAACACTTATGTTGCCTTGCGCACAAATCTACTGTAATACAGAGAAATAAGGCTACATAGTATTTTTCCTCCTCCCACAGTCCAAGGACGTGCGTGTTTTTGGGGATTCTGAATTGGCCACAAGGTGCTGAGAAAGAGTATTCCAGATGTGACATTTGTTTTGAGTGTGTTGATGGAGAAGTACAGAAAAGGTCAGAAGATGTTGCACTGTGTCTTTGTGGATCTAAAGAAAGCAGATGATAGAGTGCCAACAAAGGAGCTGTGGTACTGCATGAAGAAGTCAAGAGTGGCAGAGAAATATGTGAGAGTGGTGCATGAGGACAGCGAGACAGTGGTGAGGTGTGGAGTAAAGGGTGTGGGATTACATCAGGGATTTGCTCTGATCTCCTTCTTGCTTGCTGAGCTTGACATATTAAAATTTTCTTTGAGAGTGACCAGAATAAACGGGATTAGAAATGAGTACATCAGAGGGACAGCTTAGGTTGAGCAGTTTGGAGACAGAGTTAAAGAGACAAGGCTGAGATGGTTTGGACATGTGCAGAGGAGGGAAAGTAGATATGCTGGACACAAGATGTTGAATGTGGACTGAACGGGCAAAAAGAAAAGAGGAAGGCCACAAAGAAGATTCATGGATGTAGTGAGATGGAGGCAGATGAGCTACTGTGGCGACCCCTGGATGGCCTT